GTACTTGAAAATCAACCATTAAGAATAGGATTTCTAAAGGCACCCGATAGAATTCAAATGTAGGTGTGAAATTTGAGGAATTTAAAATTATTCTTAAAAGTCCCGTTTTCATTTATCCTAATTGAATATTGCATTTCCCAACCGTCGATATAATTACTGTTTCATTCGCGATCTTGTATTTAGGTTTATTTATTATGGTAGAACCGAAAGTATCTAAGTCATTCTAGTGGCGTTCATGCACATCACTATACTTTATGAGAAATTATTTAGGCAAATACTATAACTTAATTCATTCATATTGAAGCGAAAATCTTTTACAAATGAATAATATACTTATCACAAATAAGATTTATAACCGTACTGTTTTGTTTCATTATATTCTAAACGGAAGTTATTGTGTCATAGTCGGAGATATTACATAAATCGAAGAAGGAATATGCAGCTCAAATATTTGAAAATTAAGTCCCTAAACCAATGCAACTATAGTGTTGATCCATTTGATGAACTAGTTAACAGGCAGCGTTTGTACATGAAATAGCCGAAATTTTATATAAACTTTTATGTATTTTAATCAAAAAATAAGCGACTGTAAAAGCTCAAAGTCATGACCTAATAATTAGGGGAAATATTTATGTGATTAACTAGAACGTTTATCTAAAATAGAAATGACATATCCGAACGAGAAGAAACATGAGTTTTCGGAATTTGATAACTAAATATGATGTGCTTCCTCAAAGGATGACTAACTCTCCTAGGTTAACGAAATATCAATAAAACAAGTGAGATCAACCACTTAATACTTATAAACAAGTCTGGTCATATCGCTGTTAGGTCATTCAGGTTGAATGTGACCTTATATTAAACGTCCTACTATGTACTCGTAAGTGAATAGGTATGATTATTAGACTGTGACTCAGTGAACTATTTCGTGTTTTCTCAGTGTGATTCTAAACGAGCTAAAAAATGTGAATTAGTTTGGTAATAAGATCGTTTGTATTGACCGCAGTCGGATTTAGTGAAAAACAAAACTTTTTAGGTACTTTTCTTCGAAGTCCATTTAAGTTGGAGGGAATTCAACAGAGAAAATGACTTTTTGGACGAAATCATTCACTTAAGGTGTACATACATACACATAGTTATTTGGTAAATGTATGATTTTATAGAAGGCCGAAAAGAGATTACATGAAAAAGTGATCCAATGTCTTATATATTAAAAGATATTTGCGTAATGATTGAGAGGCTATAGGGATTAAAATCAAATATAATCATAGGGGGGATTAATTGTTGTGTGATCTGATTCAGTAAGCAATCCTGTATATGAAATGTGTAAGTTGTGTAAAACATTAGACGAAAATTTTATTCAATAAACGAAATATACCCATTAAGAAAGATTGATTTAGCGAAGAGTTCTCTTTTCGGCGAATTCATTTTCAAAGCTGTACAATCGTATACATGTGATAGTAATTACAATAATAATGATAATAAACTTGTGTTAGATATGGTGACAGTGAGATGGAATAAACGAAGGTCTTAAAAAATTTTTTAAACAGAGAAAGATTAAATGTAGTCAGGAGGATCATAGAAGCAGAAGTAATCCAGATGAGGGTAGAAGGATTAAGAAGATGGAAGGGGAAGCAAATGGCTCTAAAGGAAGAAGAATATGAATATGTTGGATTATTGAACTTCTTATTCAGCTGTTTTTTCCTCTTCTTAACCACGCCGGGTAATGTTCTTGAATTCTTTTGGATAAAGTAGGCATCGAACGACCTATATAGCTCGCTCCACATGAGCAGGTAAATTGGTAAATGCACATTGAGTTGATCAGATGAGATAATTTATCCTTAAAATTATTAATGAACAATGATCGGCTGGGAAATAACGCTGCGAAGAACGTTCTTTTTAGAGAATCAGATATTCTCCTCTTTAAGATATATGTGGCCAAAATTCATGTATAATGTTTTCTTTTTGACTGAATATTTAGGCCATTAACAATCAAACGACTATTACTTTATTATCAGCGAGGGTTTTGTGGAGATTTTAGTAATTTAATAGTTGTATTCATGAGTCAATTGAAACTAGACCACCATGGAAAACCTGGACGGCCGTTTCGTCCTAGTATGGGACTCCTAAGCAGTGGTCTAGAGGTTAAGCGTTCACGCGCGAAACCGATATGTCCCGGGTTCGAATCGTAGATGCGCACTGCTGGGGAGTCCCATATTAAGACGAAACGGCCTTCCAGTGCTTCCAGGTTTTCCATGGTGGTTTAGCTTCAATTGACTCATGAGTTCAAATACTAGATTATTAGTTTTGCTATTTTAAATTTTTTTAATACCTTTGTTTATACTATCTCATTTTACCCATGTCTAACATAAGTTTATTGTAATTATTATCATCCTAAAATATTAAGTATATATACATATATACGATTGTACAGTTTCGAAGGTTTTATTCTCTATGATTACTTATTTTCGAAGCAGCAACATCTAACACTATGAACTTCATTTATACCAATTTTGAGAACAAATTCATACCTGTCTTTCGTATGCATTTTGAAGTGTTCAAAGAAACGGGGAAGGAATGTCAATATAAGAACTAATGGCATTGAATGCCTCGATAAAAGCAATTTGTAATGCTTACGTATCACTGACTAGAAAACCTTAAAAGTTAATTAGATGGTTAACATCACTTCTAGAATACACTGGTTGTAGAAGCTGTTGATAGAATGTAAGTACATCTACTTTCTCATTATAAAATCAACTATTTTATGGTGAAACTGAATAAGTATTTATAAAAGGTTGTGGATCATATCTTTTAAAACTTATCGTAATGAACTTCCACAGCTTCTAGTCGATATACAACCAGCTGGAATAAACATCTCAAAACATATAAGTTATACACTGGCTAACATTCAACAACAGTATATTTTATGTTTCGTTTCATAGATATTTGATTTTTTTATGCGTAAAGTTCATAAAACTGTTGCACCTGGAAGTTATATCGCGTGATTTTTCTACAGAACTTTAGAGACAAAGTATGACGTTCAATGATAAGAAACATATCCTGTGCCTCTATAAGTGCATTATAAAATACTGGTCGATTAATAGATAACTAATTTGTATTACAAGGTAACATAATTCAAGAACTAGATAACAAAAGGTTTGTATAGAATCATTATTCTTGTTTATATTGGGTGCCCACATACGTGTGAGGGTGGGGAGAGTTCGTTCTCCTTCACCAAATCCTCTTACATGGCAATGCGTATACAGCCACTGCCATGGAAGTCCTACTCACTGACTTCTTGAAGTGGGGGTGTTTACGAAATCGAGAGGACGAGAAGCAAATGTCCGGCGCTTTAACCGGTTTGGTGTATACGGAGGACCTATCTAGGTAATAGGAAAACCTTGATTTCAAACCAATAGTGTATATGGGCTCCAGCATACTGAGGGAGAAAATGGAGTGTGAACCTATTATTGGTCACTAGCTACCATGAGGTCACATTTCCTAAAGTTGCTCCACTGCCTTGTGGATTAGACTTTTAGGTCAAAGGCTCCGGGCGTGGTCCCTTAAGAAAACCACCTGCTTCGATTTGGGCGCGCGGGCAGTATTTCGGCGCTTACACAAATCGAATGACGAAGTGTGAAGCACATATATTTGGTGACTCTTTGTACTAATGTTTATGTGTTTAAATAAATAAAATTTATATTGGGTGGATTTATCACTTATCAGGCATAAATATAATGAACTAACGTATGAATGTAATTAATGAGAATAATTATTATGTATCGTGATTGATAGCGAATAGAGAACAGTTAAATGGTGAAGCGAACTGGTATCAGTTTAATATTAAGTAGTCGAAATTGTCAACGAAGTGGTTACTATTCAAAAGTATATAAAACAAATTATTAAAATTTAAAAAAAATATGATTGTATGCTATGGTAATAATTTTTCGTTCAAAGTTCATTTTGGATTGGAAACTTTTACCAAATTCATATCGATTAGTGATTGCGTTTTAAATCTATCAAAGATAATCAATATATTGTCGAATTATTTAAGGTTAAGAAAGAGAGTTTTCAATGTTCATTCTACACAATAACCACTGTTCAGGCATTTACATTGATTAAGTAAGCTTTCAATGTTTGTCATCAACGTGATTTTGCTCATTCTTCAAGTTGAATGTATGTGATTGAATGCCAATGATATACATATACAAGAAATTGTTTCATGTAACCTATTAAAATTAGATCATGATCATAATCACTATCCAAAGAGACTTAGTTTTAATTATTTTTTGGATTAAATATATTGAACTATTTCATAGGAAGTATAAATAATATAATTTTAATTTAGTTACTTAATGAAAATTTGTGTATTTAATTTTAAGCGCCAAACATATAATCTAATAGTTAAAAGTTGCCAGATACTTTTTATTAAATTATCAATTTTAATTTATTAACTTAGTATAATGCATATATATTCAAACTTGCCCCCCAAATGCCCTGGTACAGCCGAGAGTGGGAAGAATACACTCTCCCTCTCAAAATGCTCTCATATGGCCACGCGTATATAGCCTCTATCAGGGTAGTCCTACTGACTGCTTTCTCGTTGCATTACTGTTATTTTACGAAATTGAGGGGACGAAAAGCGAATGCCCAGTGCTTTAACCGGGTTGGTGGACATGGAGAATCCACCTAGAGGAATTGGAGAACCCTGATTCCAAACCAATGGTACATATGGGCTCCAGGATCATGAGGGAACAAATGGCGTATGAACCAATTATTGGTTACCGGCTATCATGGGACAGCATCTCTTGACGTTGCTCCACTGCCTTGTAAATCCTCAGGTCGAAGGCCCAGGTTGTCGCCCTCTAAGAAAACCACCTGCTTCGGTTTGGACACCCGGGTAGTATCACAGCCCTCACACATATCGAATAAGATTTGTGTGGCGTATATGTATTTGGTGCCTCTTTGTACCAATATCTATGTGTTAAAATAAATAAATCAAATTCAAACTTACATAATACAATCATATTTTTGTTTTTTGTTATTTCTTACTTTTTATACACAATTTAATTGTCTTTTACAAATTCACATATTAATTAGTATTATTACTGTTATTACTATATTGTATTGTTATTATTGCAAAGATATCACTGAAGAAAAAATAATTAAGTGAACGAGAGAAAAAAAAATAGAGGAGGGGAGGGGGTAAGATTGAGTTTAGACAATATCAATAAAGTATGAAGAGACCAGATCATAAACATTTATACGCACAAAATTGTATGTTGCATACAAAAAAAAATCGTGTTTTTAATTTTTGTTTGTTAAACTATAGATTGAAGTAATAATAATAAGGTGCCGTCCCAACATATGAATATGTATATATTATGTATAAATTAAGAAGACTGTTGTTCTTTACCCTGAGTATTCTTTGATAACCTTTGTGCTCGACGTTCATCAATCCACATACGAACAGCTGAACGTAAATTTTCTTGTGGTTCAACTTGAGACATTGTTAATGGTTTTCTACTAAATGGATCAGTAGAATCACTAAATTCAAAATAAATAAAATGAATATTTTTAGTATGCAGGGATTGATGGAGGTTGTTCAACCTCTCAATTTGTATTACAGACTAATTTTAGTTAAACAATTATTGAAAACTAGAAAACAGTATAAAGTTGTTTCGTACTAAGCTGGAACACTTCAGAAGTGAACATCCATTATTCCACAGAGGATCAAACCAAAGACATTCATGTTTTTTTGGCAGGAGCTTAGTCATTTAGACTACTGAGTTAGCGACCAACGGTTGCCCAATTCCGATAACTGATTATAGTTAAAATAGTAAATTATGAAACAGTTGTCCAGTGCTTCCTGGTTTTTAGTGTTTAAGATCAATCCGTGAAATAAACTTCAAAGAGTTAATATTGATAAAAAATTACATACATATACTGGTTTATTATAGATTGTACAATCAATGCTACGTTGTCTAGTCCCTAGTGTGTTGATCAAACCCTATTAATGAGCAGTTGCTATGTAAGTAGCACCAGTTTAATTGATGTGATAATATCACGATCGATATTTAGTGGTTGACAGAATTCGACAATGACACTGAAGGTAGCAGACTTTCGAGGCTTATCCTATAAAATTAGACAATACTACAAATTATTTCGATGACACAAATAAATCAACACTAAGTCAGTCACTTAGATCTAAGTAACGTAGGCCTTGGCAACGGTTTAAGTTGTCACGCCTTGATACATGATGTTTTCTGCTGTAGAATTAGGTTGTATTTTTATCTCCAAATAATTTGTGATATTACGCAAATATCGCTTAATGACATTAGTAATATTTGTCATACATCATATACGAACAAAACAGATGTCCAGTAATTCCAAATTTTTAACAATTATGTCAGTTAGTGATGCGAAAATTCCACCATTATCTAGTTACAAAATCATAAAAATATCACTACGATCGTTAGCAATCTCTGAGCATTCAGAGTCTTTACGATAACTATTAACCAACTTCTAAAAACGAATATTTCCATGATATTTGACACTGGTTTTTAAGTAATGAGAAACAAGTAGGTTGTTTTACACAACCGAATTCAGCATCATTGCACTGCACAACAATACGTATGCGTTTAAATTCTCACAGTAAAAACAACCAAGATTTTTTTTTAGTTCTCACCGCTCTGTACTTTGTCAGCGCGGATTCCAGTTCAGTAAAAACATCAATATCCAACCGACGAGTCCTATATAAGGTAAAACCCTAGCCCTGGATCACAATCCCAATCAACGTTCAAATTTAATTAAAAACCGTTCTTTTATACTTAGTTTTATCATATTCTTTCGTTAGAGAATATCATTAAGGAAAGATTTCGTAACGCATGCACTGATTATTTGTAAGTGTAATCCTATGGGAAAAGTAACTTGTAAAATGTATATCAATATTTGATTACAAAAGGATAAGTATATAAAATATCATTAAATAAAACATACTTTAACAGATGACGATAAATAGTTTTACGATCAACTATTTGACCTGATGTGGGTAATTTCACAGGATCCTCCATTAAACAACCCATAATTGGATCAATAAATTCATCCGGTGCATCATCTACATCTAATTCTTCGCTAGTTTTTATTACATTTTCAGCCTAATCGTACAACAAAAAGAAAAAATGAACAGATGTTAAATCCAACATTTGTTCTTGCTTTATCGAGCATTACGCTATATTTCAGATACTGATTGGGAATCTTCAATACAAATGCTTACTTAGAAGATTTAAGTGAAGCATAAGTTCCCGATTGGACATTTAGAAAAGATGAAAATAAGAAGGACATCTTTTAAACAAAGATTTTCATGATAGTTCTATATTAATATACAAGTTCAGAAATAATAATAGAATTGACAAAAATCAAGTGATTTGTGTTATAATAAAGTGAATGAGTTAGAAAATGGACAGTTTGTTGAACAATTTATTTCATGATTGAATCCATGGACCGATTGAAGTTATACTGTCGTCGGAAACCTGGAAGCAGTGGACGGCATTTTATCATGAACTTTCACTTGCCTATTGACCATTATCATACGATTTACTATTCTTAAGATTGTGGCAAGCCTTATTTGGCCACTGTATCATTTGTCTACTCATTGTAACTCAGACACTTAATTCATCATGTTAGTTTCGTGCGCATTTCAGACTCTTAATTCACTATGTTAATTTCGGTGTGTATGATCGAATGCATGTCTGTACATTAACACTTAAGCTATCTTCCTATTGGTTGTAATGTGCAGATAATCGATAATTTATCCACACCCGATTAACTCTCAAAAATATATATGGATTTTTAACACACACACACACACACTCACTCACTTTGTTTCATCGTGTGCTCGCTCGCTGTACGCTTGCGGGTTTTTATGAATCATTAACAATAAATTATCTCTACAACTGGTGTTCAGGCTTCGCAATAATCTCGAGTAAATCCGTAATTCTACTAGGAGATTAAGCCTACCCTAAATACTCAGTTTACGGGATATTATTTATTGGAGTCAGATATTGAGGATATTAGCCTCAACATATTGGTGACCCGCCTTTAGAACGCGCACCATTTTCCTACAAAGTCCGCTGCATTCTCCTCAAGCGTATCATAAAGAACTTCATATTGGAATTATTATTATAATTAATAACAATCCATTGACAGTCATAATAAATTCACTCATAACATTGTCCCTTTCAAATTATTGCTGTATATTCTCATATTTATACCCAAAGTGACAGTTTTTCTTTTTGGTGAGTTTTATGTATTTTTTGTTGCTACTTTTGATTTCTTCATATTGTATATTTCAAACCTCAGCTTATTATTATTATTGCTCGTTCGTACCATGTCACTTGATAATTCGCTAAGCCTATCATCTAAATCTATTTCCGTGGGTGCCATTTCTGTACCTTTACCTGTTTTTAATCCACGAAAGGCTGAACTCTGGTTTGCTCGCTTAGAAAGCTTTTTTGTTGCAAACAAAATCACAAATCAGAGTACGAAATTTAGTTACGCAAACTCACTGCTGCCGGACGACGTCATTGAACAAGTGCCTGATGTCATTTTTAAACCGGATCCTGACTCACCATTCGATTGTCTAAAAAGAGAGGTCATTCGTGTCACATCTCTCACCGACCAACAGACAATTGATCAACTTTTAGCCAACGTGGAGCTAGGTGACAATACACCATCACAGTTAAAATGCCACATGACAAACTTATTAGGAAATCGTACAGTAGACAAACGTCTACTATATCGATCGTGGTTTAGACGTCTCCCTCAAAACATCCAACAGATACTTGCAATTGGAGACGAAGACGTCGATTTTGTTAGGCTAGCAGACATAGCCGACAGAATTTACGAGCGGTCTAAGACTCACCCTGTATCTCAAATCCAATCAAGCTCAACTGACGAGATCTACGAGTTACGACGATCAGTTGCTACCCTTACCAAACAGATAGCTCAGATCCAGTTATTGAATGCCTCCCACAGTAAGTATAGAGGAACATCCAGAAACCGTAGACGTCGTAGTCCAAGCACTACTAGACACAACATTTGTTGGTACCATAGAACATACGGCAAACAAGCTAGAAAATGTACCCCGCCTTGTAACTTCGCAAGCACACAGAAAAAGGAACGTCAAGACCGCCGGTTAATGACGACTTCAGTCACTGACCACAACTCTCAAGTCAGCCGTCTGTTATATGTTACAGACAAAAGAACAAAAGGACAAGTTTCCTATTTCTGACGTCTATCAGTATTTTGTAGAATTACAGAAATGGCACCCACGGAAATAGATTTAGATGATAGGCTTAGCGAATTATCAAGTGACATGGTACGAACGAGCAATAATAATAATAAGCTGAGGTTTGAAATATACAATATGAAGAAATCAAAAGTAGCAACAAAAAATACATAAAACTCACCAAAAAGAAAAACTGTCACTTTGGGTATAAATATGAGAATATACAGCAATAATTTGAAAGGGACAATGTTATGAGTGAATTTATTATGACTGTCAATGGATTGTTATTAATTATAATAATAATTCCAATATGAAATTCTTTATGATACGCTTGAGGAGAATGCAGCGGACTTTGTAGGAAAATGGTGCGCGTTCTAAAGGCGGGTCACCAATATGTTGAGGCTAATATCCTCAATATCTGACTCCAATAAATAATATCCCGTAAACTGAGTATTTAGGGTAGGCTTAATCTCCTAGTAGAATTACGGATTTACTCGAGATTATTGCGAAGCCTGAACACCAGTTGTAGAGATAATTTATTGTTAATGATTCATAAAAACCCGCAAGCGTACAGCGAGCGAGCACACGATGAAACAAAGTGAGTGAGTGTGTGTGTGTGTGTGTTAAAAATCCATATATATTTTTGAGAGTTAATCGGGTGTGGATAAATTATCGATTATCTGCACATTACAACCAATAGGAAGATAGCTTAAGTGTTAATGTACAGACATGCATTCGATCATACACACCGAAATTAACATAGTGAATTAAGAGTCTGAAATGCGCACGAAACTAACATGATGAATTAAGTGTCTGAGTTACAATGAGTAGACAAATGATACAGTGGCCAAATGGGCTTGCCACAAGATATTCCCAATGTATTAGTAACAGTCTATCATAACCACAGCCAGTTTGGGACTTGATCTTATGTAATTGGTATTTTTATATTTTATGTTATGATGTAGTCTGGTTTGTCAGTATATAAACCCAGTATATCTGAAATATGTGATTCGTGTAGCGGAGGCTTATAATAATGTTTTGAACTAGACCGTCTGGGTTTAAAGAGAACCTACTACCTCGATGGACCAGTAAAGACTCAGGATTGACTCTGGACTGCCCATACTGGTTTATGTGTCATTAGTTTGGACGTATACGTTGGTGTCTCTAATGATCGGTCGCATCACGTGAGATCATTAATCGGACATAACAAAATGATGCAGCTCGAAAAGTATCTATTCTTCTATGAAGTAATAACATTAGTCAGGAAAACATACAAAACTACGGAGTCATTGACAAATGTTTTGTTGTTATTGATGTCATAAATAAGCATCTTGTAAATAATGGCGCTAGAACCCACTAATAAACTTGGATCAACGAAGATAAAGTTTTACATTCATCATAACATTCCATTCACACAAATTGTGCTGATGAGGTTACATCATCGTTAAGATAGGCAGTCAGATTTTTAATTTATTTATTTAAACAAGTAAACATTGGTATAAGGAGGCACCAAATAGATATGCGCCACAAAAATCATTCGATTTGTGTGAGGGCTGAGATACTGCCCGAATGCCCAAACCGAAGCAGGTGGTTTTCTTAGGAGGCCACATCCGGAGCCTTCTACCTAAAGCTCTGATCCACAAGGCAATGGAGCAACGTCAGGAGATGCTGTTCCATGATAGCCGGTGACCAATAATTTGTTGATACGCCATTTGTTCCCGCAGGATACTGGAGCCCACAAATACAAAATAAGTGGATTTTATTTCTTCTAATCATACAGACAGATAAACCAATAAAACAAACTTATGATTCATGGACAACACATATACGAACGGAATTATAAGTAAACAATAAATCATATACATACTTTAATTAGACGAACAGCTTCAGCGAATTTATTACATAAATCTATTGGTGCAGCGATTCGATCTAATACACGACAAGCTTGGTCCAACAAATCTGGTGTAAATGATCTTTCATCACTAACAACAGCTCGACGAAATGATTCCGATGATGATGGTAGCGAAGATGATGCTGAGGAAGTATTTAAAGATAATTTATCAAAGAGCAAGAAAACCCAAAGCAATATTCTAGGGAAAATAGAATCTAGTACCATAAAACGTTGATCGGAAAAACAAATGAGCATATAAGTTGTATTTATCATAGCTTGATTTTAATAAGTGTACCATTGAAGACAAGGAAGCACTGGACAGCCATTTCGCTCCAAATAGGGACTCGGCAGACGTGAGGATCTATGTTCCATGATGGATAAAAGAGAGGACCTTCGGGTATGGTGGCGGAAGCCTAAACAATGGAATCACTAGGTTGACATCCAGTCGTATAATTCCAGCATTCGTCAGTTTGTAATACAGAGCAGAAGTCATACAATGTCATAGGTAACAACTGTTTCACTCTCGTTATTTCTAAACTTCACTGTTCACAAATTTCCACTAGAACTTCAGGAATGTCTTAAAGTCAATTTGTGATCAATACAACCCACAAATTAAACCATTTACCACAAAAGCCCTTCAATTAAATCTAGTTGTGAATAATCTAATGACATCTTTACTTATCAAGACAATTTTCGATTATGAACATGAAAATTACAGTAGTAAATAAAATTTCTCATAGTTAAAGCCGTCCCACCATCTTATATATTTCATTGAATCATTTGAAATATATCTTACCTAAAATACACCATAGTTTTGGAGATCAATTTTTATCTATTTATTATACTGACCAAATTTGGAAAAGGATGACTTTGATAAAATGGAAAATTGTAAGTAAGAACTAATATATTCTTAATAAATGTATCCCATAGTTAACAGCTATTAGTTTAAAAAAGTATTTGCTTCCTTTGACATAATTCAAAACCGAAGAGAGACGATGATCAGATAAAAAGATTAATTTAAAAGAAATCCATTTGAGTAGTATCATATCTAAAGTTTCATAGTTTTTGTCCAACTGTAATATAAGAACGTAGCTTAATATAATACTAATTTAACGAAATTCAATGTATTAACAGGATGGATAACGAATTAATACTTATTGAGGTCTGTAAATCGCTGAACAAGTCAGATAGTTTTCAAAACCATTTGTTTTCACCATTTTGAATAGAGTAGTCACCTTAATCAGGTATATAGAAGAAAGTCAAATAGTGTAATTTTAAAAGAGACTAAAAATAGCAATTTGGAAGATATATCATACATTTAAGCTTATTTATGTAGGAAAAAACAAAAATAATCATTTAATATAGACTATGACATCACATAGACTATTATATTACATCCTATTAATTTTACCAGTCTATAATATGTGTGGACACATGTAAATATGGAGCAGAAATTGAGATATTTGATTAGGGATAGGTAAAACAAATATCGAAATAGTTTCAGTAAGAATAATAATCTTGGATGAGAGAGGATAACAGACAATTATACTTATCTACAAACACCCCAATTAAATAAAATCAATAATTAACTTACCGATTGTTTCAGTATCTGTTTCAACTGCTGAATCAGATCCACGAGCTAATATCTGGTATATTGCAGAAATTTCTAGTACCATTAAATCTGGTTTAAAACCATAAGCAGCTTTATCACGTACATTTAAATCACGTTGTTTTGGTCCTACCTATTATATTCAATGAAAGAATATACATTTATATATTTATTTATTAAAATAATAATGAAAGGAATGATTGTTCATCTATAAGTATCAAATTATTACAACGTAATCATCAGACAAGTTATTTATCAAGTGGATGATAGTTTAAAACTTCAACAACTGATTCATCTATATTTTTGCACTGATTTTACATGTTATTAATAAACATTAGAGTAAGGCTAGAAAACAAGTCGTTACAAGTTTAGGAAAGAGAATTGATGAATTAAACAAATAAGGGTATATTATCAGAAGAGGTTTGTGGAGATTTTAGATGTTTTCACAGATTGAAATCATGAGTCGTGGATGCGCACTGCTGAGGAGTCCCATACTAAGACTAAACGGCCGTCCAGTGCTTCCAGGTTTTCAATGGTGGTCTAGCTTCAACTGACTCATGATTTCAATCTGTGAAAATAAGAGTATAACCTAAGATATAAATGTATACATTGCAGGCAGATATATCTGTTTATGATAATTGCATTTAGTTCAAAGCTGATAATACAACTAAAACAAAACAGAAGTGAACTAGGATTATTCTATTATCATTGTAGTAAATAATTAATATCTTGACTTTAAACTCAATCGAATTTTCTAGTTTTAAATTTATGCTGTATCAAAGACTAGGAACCATGAACAATAGAGTTGCACGTGTTAGAGATAACTTGTAATAGGGGAACAATAACAACAACACAATACATCAGTCTAAACTCCCTTACAAAATACAAACATGATAGGAGCTTAAAAGGAAAAAAATGAAAGGTAAAAATTAGAGAACCGAAGTGAGAATATGGTATAGCAAAGATCAGTATAATAAATAAATTAGATTCTTTACAAGTGGATTATCTCTCATTACATACATAATACTCTTCAAATAAAGCTCATTCAATTTTTATACCATATCCAAGTAGTTATGAGAAAGATATGGTCAAATCTCTCTCAATCATGAATCATGACGAGCAATTGTTGAGCAACAATGCTACTTTCTCACAACATATTTTATTTATTCAATTCATTAATCAGGTAAATATTAGAATACTCAACTTTAAGACACAATTTAAGTATGAGAACTAGTGATGCCATTCGGTTATCTAAACCGAAATAGCTGGAGGGAGGTTCGAACTATCTTTAATATCTGTTAGTCTACTGGTTCTGTTGATAAAGTTGATAAACACAATTGTCGAGTATTACCGTTTCAGAAAACTAACAGAAAAATTTAACAATCTGTTCTTAATAACAATGTGTAATAAAAAAAAACTATAAAAATTACAGATATGACGGGGTGCAAAAATGACATTATTTATTTAGGTCAATATTTTTGGTATCGATTCATTATGAATTTCTGCCAGGGTTACAGGTGTGAACTTTATTCAGTGTGACGTCTTAGTGTTTACAATTCTCATATCAATTTAATGTAAAACTTCGCTCAATATGACAAGTGTGAATTTTCGTTCACTCTGAAACTTATTTTCCCCGCACCGATTTAAGTGAACAATATTCAATGTGTTTTTATAGTAATTCTGCACTGTTCCCTATATGAGATATAATTCTGAGTAAAAATTAGTAGATAAATGATTGTCTGTTAGTATATTGACGACATGATTTTTGTGAGTTGTTTAGGGACATCTTTTTAGAGAGTCAATAGATTCTAATTGCACTAGTCTTTTGTGCTTTCTACTTTGTGACGCGGGAATTGCAATAGCTCCTGATAGTCAAACAAAACCAGTAATACCACGAACGTGACGGACAGGACACGTGTATATAATAATTATTTATTCCTATCATAAATACAATAGAAATACATTATATCACATTATTATCAAATTAATGTATACTTTAATTTTCTATAATTTTCTGCTTCCTAATTTAAATTGTTTATTTCACTGATCGATCAAAACATAGGTTTATGTACTGGCATGCCTTGAATCATACCAGTTTTAGAATGTGAAAGTTACCCAGCTGTTCAGATTGAACTAGATAAGACAAGGTTAGAATGTGTAGCCAAATGATTGAAAGTCAAGCGCTGAACCTATGCCCCAGCTTTTAGTGTAATTATGTTAATCTAACACCTATAATACAATACCTACTTTTTCATTTGTATTTTACACTGATCCACTTCAACTTACGTTGTCATTACACTGTTGTAAAGTCTAAATACAGAAATCTTAATCATGACTTAATCGGTTTAGTATATTTTTATTAGGACTTAAATAGTTTTACATCAACAATTTTTATTAAAGACAGAGAAATAATAAATTAAGAATTTGTATCTAATAATTTGACAATGAATAAATACAATTCACTAAATTGCAAAATCAAAAAAGTACAAAAACGAATTGTCCAATACTTGAATATATATAAGCTTTACGCAATAGGTACCTGAAAATCATTATAACAACTCTGTCAGGCATAAATATGTATACATGATACTAATGTGCTACTCATATGATCCTATCAATAAATAGTAATCACTGGATAGGTGCTTGAAACTAGAGAGCATTGTATAATCATTTCATTTTAATATAAGAATTTTCAAGAGTATGTACATTTATAGTCCCATCAGAGATTGAATTACGGACCATAAGGATCCAATAGTCTAAATTTCTTCAACTTAAACCAATCATATAACTGAACTCAACATAAGAATCGCCTGTGTGTGCATTCACGGCACTACGACAAAAAAAGCATATTCCATAGATTCTGTGGCCAGTTTTACGATTTATAAAAAGCATGACTTTGTTTATCTATTTACCCAATAAATGTGACCAGTTAGAAATAAAATAAAGAATAATCATTATCATCATCATCATCATCATCATCATCACGAGTTTAACTTACAAGTCTTGTCAAGAAATAATTTAGCATACATGCAACTCGATCAACCAATATTGGATGTGTAATTAATTGTGAACATAAAGTGATCACTCGACGTAATGTAGCAATGGTATCTAATCCAAGCATAATATGATGTCGTGCTAAACGACCTGTATGTGCAAACAATGCTTCGTCTGAAGAAGAGGATAATCTAATATAACAAAAAAAATGATGATAAAGTATAAATATACAAATATACTGAACATGCAGGTTTTACTTATCATAGATTAATCTCAATTACGGTATAACTGAAAACCAGGGAGCATCGGACATCTGTTCTGTTCTAGTATGTGACATATGAACAGTACACACCCTGGATACCAACGAAGATTTAACCCGGAATCATCGACTTTCGGAGTAGTAGGACCACTGAGTCAAAGTCAAATGGTACAATCCCAAGTCCAATGAACTTTTGGAAAACACTAGATTATTCGGTGCAACTGCTGATTATTGTTTCAGTTATGACATGTATGAACTCGATCAGCCACGACTTGCCACAAAAATCATACTATGGAATTTAAGGATACAAACAACTTTTTTAGAAATGTCAACTGGTCAATGATTTCGCCTAAATCCTTTAGGCACAGAGTGACTATGCAGCACGACGATTCAAAGGTGCAGGGGTTCATAGGGTTTAACTCCTACAGCAGTAACTGGAAAGTTCTACAGCTCGCGATTAGACCTTGGATTATTGAACAGAATTATTGGCAGGCAGCAAAAGGCTGGATAGAGTGCCACCGATTAACAGCACAAACAATGAAAAATTGCAGTAAGGGCCAGTTCATTACGAAATTGATACAACCGATTAAGGACCTATTAAAAAAATATCTACATTGGGTAACGGTTTGTTATCAGACTAGACTAGACGGTATGATTAAGGGTATGTTGGAAAACGGAGTTATTAAGCTATCGACATATTTATTTGTGATTGAGGTTGTGTAGTAGGATAGTGGGTTTCTAAACACAAGTACACTTTTATTAACTCCAGTACTCCAGTACAAATTTTATGAACATCAATATTGTTTGGGATCGCTGAACATCACTAACATGTATAGATTTAAAATGATGATAAAAAAAGTTACTTCTTAAGGAGATAAGGATTATTTCAACTCTTAAGCATTCAGCTATAGCTTCGATTGATGGATACATCCAGAAAAATATAGCTCCGCAATGAAAGTTGGATTTTTATAATACCAGTTAAATTTCTTTTGAACATATGTTTTTCGTTTATTTTTAAGTATTGATTGCACTGATTAATCTTTGATTGATGTGGTTTTAGTATTGACGGCAGGATTTATTAAACTATTAGAATATTCGACAGTTCACTGTCGAACAACTACTCACATGTTTGTTGTAGAATTATTTACTGAAGAGTATTCTAATCCTTATGGCAGTGACTATCATTTAATTACTTGTACATATAACATTATTTTATCAACTGTTACACTAAACCAATAAAAACTTATCTAGTTGATAAGGGATTTTAATTTGTTGCATATTCATAAAGATTTACTCGCGATTCACACATCACATCATATCAAGACACATAATGGATAATAATCTCATAAATTAAATATTAGCTTATATGATGTAATTCATATGTATTAATTAAAAAAGCTTACTTCCCACCACGTTTGTCTCTTTCACGTTCAGTTTGTTTAAGTTGGGCTAATAAACTAAGGGCTTCATCTAACAAAAAGATAGCATCATTCACCAAAAGTGATAAAAATTGTAGAAATAATGGAGGATTCACATCATCGATATGCGCTAAAGCTTCATTTTCTAAACGCTTATTATTTTAGAGAAAAAAAAATGTGCAAATGGTTAGATAGAGAGATATTAAACTAATGCATAATAACATATAAATTTATTGCAATCAGTTGCATACAGTTTAAGGAAACTTAAGAACTATAATAATATGTACGTGAATAAATCGAACGCGAAAATTTGTTCTCCGTGTATCGAACGATACCCTCTGTAGAGCAAATTACAGTGATTTTGAAAGAGAAGATCAATTAAAATAGATATTACCGCGTAAGAAGAAAACAACTTAGTGGTCATAAAATGATCACAATTTATTGGACAGATATTGAAAACGGATCTACTTATTTCTTTGAGAAATTATTAGAAGTCACCTGATAATTCCAAGAAAAAAAATCGTTAGAAGACAGATGAATATTGAAAAGAATCGACTAATCAGTCATCTAGAAAATTCTAAAACAACTTTAGAAAATGACTGGATTCAGTATCCTAATTGAACAATTAACGAACTTGCTACAAATTTTAGCGAGTTTTCTGGAAGCTTTCAATCACAAGGCTGTACAATCTTATAGATAGATGAAGCGTCGAAATAAAGTCTCTTGTATAAACAACAATATTTCTTTCGATGGTTCAAGAGTAGAAAATTACTGAGGACTTGAGAATGACGTATCAAAAATAACATGTTTAATACACTCAGTGAAACTGTTTTAAGATAGATACATCATTAGAGAACTATGTAGTAAATGAAAAACACTAAAGAAACACAAGATGACAGATTTTTTACTTAAAAACAAAAAAACGATAATAAAGCTAACAGTCATTTGAAAAGTGCAACGAAAACAACTTCATTTAAACCAGATAATCAAAAACGACAAAGTACAGCTTCAAGTAAAAACTTGAATTAGTTAACGTTTTTATAGAGCTCACAAAGAAAAAGTCAATAAATGATAAACGCACTAATTAAAAGTGGGCAGATATGTATGGAATAAATGAAAAACTAAATAGGGCATTTGAAGAAAAAAGTGAATATATTGGTGAAAACATAATGAGGTTCTAATAGCATAACATCAGGATTCCAGTTAGATAAGACCAAATCAAACAATGAATGACATTTGTATGATGTGTGTATGCTGTTTCTAAACACTTTAGCCCGGGAACCTTAAGTATAGAAGGTAATGGAAAACTTTTTCACAAAATCCTAACGTTGAAATTATTGTTGAGATGTTCAACCCTATCAAGAATGAGGCAGATATCAAGGTTAGAGTTGAATAATTGTCGTAAAACACTGCCAATTGACTGAAGTGAGGAACGTCGTTCACTAGATTGAGGACTAATATTTAAATTCAATTTTGTTAACTTTTGGACTTGAAGACCCGGAGTGTCATTCTGTGTCGCTTCATGGAAGTGGATTACTAAGGATTCTCAAACAAGAAAAACAACTGATCAGTATTTCCTGTTTTTTTAAGGTGATCATAGTCTGTACTAGAAATTAACTCCACAAACAATCTAACTTGTATGAAGATTAAACAATTCAAGATGAGTTATAAAAAGAGTCATTAACTTTACTAACTGAGAAAAGAAAAGTATAGAAATAATATTAATATCAAAAGGGGTTTCGTGGAGATTTTAGTAATTCCAATAGTTGAAATCATGAGTCAATCGAAGCTAGACCACTATGGAAAACCTAGAAGCATTGGAAGATCGTTTCGTCCTAGTATGGGACTCCTCAGTGGTGCGCATCCACGGTCTCCCCCCCCCCGCGATTCGAACCCAGAATCTATCAGTCTCGCGCGCGAGCGCTTAACCATTAGACCACTGAGCCGGCACCCAACAAACAATCTGTACATTATTTCCGATGTAATATGCTGAAATTTTACATAGTATGACACTGTTTATATGTTAGAAACGCTATTGTAAACAAATGCTTCTTTTAAATTTAATGATAACACTTCCCAGAATTTATTTCACAGTAGTTATATGAGATCTTTTTTTAAAAAAAGTCGAATTGATTTCATAATATCAGTCATAGATAGTTTAGATATGTTGACGATTATTAAAACCAACGTCTATAGGTAATAAAATTTTACAACATTGTCAAGCATCCTATTTCAATATCATTACAAAATAATCTATTTTTAAGTTAACAAAATAAAGTAATTTAAATGATTTACAACATTCTACATTCAAGAACTTGCAACGTGATATGACTCGAAGCAAAATCTGGATATTGATTAGAGTGTAAATGATTTATGAAACTAATTTTCTCTAATCATCCATAACATGTAATCACATTTTAAAGAGTAGTTTCATAACTAGGTAAATTAATTATATGTGTTAGCTATAGTGGTTCAATTATGTAATATTGTAAATCTCTGTTTATTTGTACAGTAAACAATTGATTAATTAATGTTATGGGATACTCAGATAAATGTACTTAAAATCTGACTAATAACCAGTGTAAATCAGACAAAAATATCAGTGTAGTCAGATATTGTTTTGATATATTTTCGGTGTATATTCAATTCTCATCTATTGTATTTGTCCTCTAGCATTGGGTTATGAAAATTACAGTACCGTGTAGCAAGTGCCAGTTTTCCGCAATTTTAATACAGTGAAAATAAAAGAAATGTAATCGCATGCATTTGATTTATGATAATTATTTCCTTTTAACCAAGAAATGTAGATAACAGAAATGAAAATGATTACAAAAAGAAAGATACAGCCATGATATGGTCCAATGTGAATTATCAGTTCACGAGTATAAATATACTTTCATAAGAAGCGAAGAAACCACAGTACATCATCATATTGCCTAAGATTTACACAGTACGTTTGATTAAAATTCTGAAGAGCCAGAATATACATCAGTCAAACTAAATGATCAAAAGTGTTATCACATGAGCGTTTCTGCTTTCTTTGAAAAGAGAACGGTGTGAGTTGTCACAAAAAGATATGATTTATTTCCATTAGCTAACAAAGTTACCTTAATATAACATATCAATTTGTTATAGAATCGGTTAAAATTTATCGACTGGTGATTCTGATATAAAGAAAATGCACCAGAAATAGCAAATCTAGTTGATTATTTTTTCAAGTAAAATTTAAAATAACCGCCAGAGGTTGTCCGCAACGCTTTTAATATTCAATCACAATGCTCTATTCAACAATATCAATTATCTTTCATTTCATTTAATGTATAATTACTGTATATTAGAGTGTAATTTTTCCTAGACATTTCATTTCAAACACTAACTTTCACTATATTTTTGTTTGTCATCCAACTTTTTGGTCCATGCTACGCTGACGTGCTAATAGAAGTGAATTGTGGATAACTTCAGATAAATGACATGCAAACTAAACCTTGATATGCAGCACTGATTTATAGAAATTAACGGTAACTTCCCTAAAATGCTGAATATAACACACCTATTGAACACTGAAAACATTATGAATAAACCTCAACCAAAATATCTGTGTACATCACTTTCTAATACTTCAAAACTTTCATTCGTTCTTACCTTAAACTGTACATCATATAATGGTTTACCGTACCAATATCTTAAACAAGCATACATTGGACGTCGATAATGAAATTTTTCTTCAAATCCAACAGCAGCAGTCTGAGTGTCCGTTGCAGTATTGCCACCACTGCTACTACTATTATTACCGGTATCTGTTTGACTATCACTACTGTTTAAGTGAGAATCAGGTTGGCGTGAAGAATTTTGTGATGTAGATGATGAAGAAGCAGCTATCACTGCATCAGCTGCACTCCCAGCGCTGCCAACAACTCCAGTACCAGGTGATAATTCTATAGAGACAAATGCTGTAAGCAATGCTCTGACAGCATTACTCAATACAGGATCATCTGTGATTTCTGAATCTCGATTCATAAGTTTTTCACGTCTATGGCTAAGACAAAAAAAGTAAAACAGAGAAGAAATAATTAGTTAAATTACTCAAATATAACATGTACTTAAGGAGAAATCATATCGCAGGTAATATTCTTAAATCTGTTAAACAGAAATCAGCCTTCAAATTTTGATCCTTAAATCCCAAGCTTAAGTTTCATGATTCAGAAACTGATTCGTTTAGAAGACTCATCTCATATATCAGCATAAATTATTTCACAGTAAATGTGCACTTAAATTTGTTCCAGCTGGTTTTTTGATGCTTAAAAGCTGAAATGCTTTTCATTGTCTATTCTAATCTTAATGAAAATAATTATTTCAACTGTATAGATCCAGAGAAAGGAACTATCGTAAATAAAACTTCGCTGGTTTGAATTGTCATTCAGGATTTTCATTATACATACATATATCCAAACGCTATGAACTATGATGTGCTACATGGAAAACGATCTAAAAAAAAACAACTCAAATATACCGCACCAATCGACAACACGAACACAAAACTCTATAATGTTTTTGTATAAAAACATTTTTTGAACCTAGAATAATTTTTTGGTTCGTAATTCAACAATCATATATCTTGATATAAAATATTTATTTCGACTGGGGAAAAATGTACAACTAAGCCTGAATTTTACAAGAGTAGTGAAGCGTACGAAATAAAGTCCATCGTATGCAACAAATTTCTCACGTAATTCAATGCTCAACAATGATGAATTTTACACCAAACGTTCAATCAATAGTACCCAATATGATGATATCAAACATTTATTGCTTGAGTAAGATGGATTTTGCTGAAGTTGAGTTCACAATTGTGAAGACAATTTCGGTTAGAAAGATGTTCAAAGCGACAACGCAAAGAAAAATGTAATATGTGCATGCTCCATGGCGCTTTATGGATTCAGCACTGAACTTCAACCAATAAGTTGCATGTTGGCCCCCTTCTTGCTTATAAATCTCAGTTTAAATATATAAAAAAGTTGCAATTTTGAAGCCCATGTATCAAGTACGATGTACACACTAAACTGTGAACAGTTGACAGAGTTTTATCACTTTATACTTCACAATTGCACGAAGTAAACTAAAAATTTATGTATTGTACACATGGGTAAATGATAAAACTCCTATAAGTCTATGCGACAGAAGTATAGAGACACCACCATCATGACGTAGATATGAAAAGTTACATATCAATATGTGATTCGTTAGTTACATAAACAGTATGTTTCCTTAAGGATGAATTCGATTTCGGTCAACACAGTTTGTATCAAATACAACCACCATTATAGCAAAATAAATATGAAAATCACAACAAAATATCACATATTTAGTTACCACGAAACTATGTGGAGATATGTACTAATTTTACTACACGAATTTCGCTCTCCAAAATTCCAGAATAAACCTGAAATTTACAATGCCTGCCCACTTTTTATACGTTATTCTTCCTTGTATCGTTTAAAGGTCAATTATATATTATAAATACAGAATAATTCAGTCATAATACAGATTTTCACAAATGCAATAAGTTATATCGCACAAAAATTAAATCTTCGCGAGTGTGTGTCAACAATGAAGTGTAATTGGTCATATTGTACTAAAACATTGTAGCTACATGGAATATACACCAATATTCTAGTATATTTATCATTAACAAACGGCTAATTATACCAACAGTGAAATAAAAATGGTGAAAACTGAGAAAGATAGCAAAAAGAAAAACAATCCCTTCAAACGAAAAGAAAATTTAAACTTACAAAGACAAATGCAATGAATTCAATAAACCAGAACCACTAGTATTTGTATTCCAAGCTTCATCATCACGTTGTGGTACTAATGATTCAAGAACTTCAGCAAGACGAGCTCTTAAGTGTGGATTAGTTAATAATCCTGTATGATTCATAAATATTATACTGAATTCTAACAATGGTTCCAATGGAATTGACGACACTTCAACAGACTAATCAAGAGAGAGAGAGAGAAAGAGAGCAACGTAGAAAAATTTCAAAGGTAAATTTAGTAAAGAATATATGATAGCGGCGTTGAGAACAATAATTGTATTTTTCCCATTTATTTATAGTAATTATCATCTTAAAAATTATATCCAATTGAAAAGAAACGTTAAACTACTCGTACAATAATGCAATACTTTTAGATTTATTTTGATTAACGAACAATGTTTTTGAAGATTAAACTAAGAAATTAAAAACTTCTAAAAAAAAGTATTGCCACCAACAAAACGATTGAGAGTGGGGAGAATCCACTCTCCTTCTCGAAATGTTCTTACATGGTCATGCGTATACAGATACTGCCACGGAAGTCTTACTCACTGCCTTCTCGTCACATCACTGTTGTTTACGAAATTGAGAAGACGAAAAGCGAATGTCCGGCGCTCTAACCCGGTTGGTGGACACGGAGAGTTTACCTAAGGGATTTGGAAAATGTTGATTCCAAACCGATGGTGCACATTGGTTCCAGGATCATGAGGGAACAAATGGAGTATGAATCAATTACTGGTCACCGGCTATCATGGGTCTGAATCTCCTAACGTTACTCCACTGCTTTGTGGATTAGACCTTTAGGTCGAAGGCTCCGGGTGTGGCCCCCTTAGAAAACCTGCCACGGTTTGAGTACCCGGGTAATATCAGAACACTCATACAAATTAGTGATAACTACTACTGGCCTTATTATTATGTGGCGCGTATGCATTTGGTGCCCCCTGGTAACAATGTTCATGTGTTCAAATAAATAAATAATGAATCTATAAAAATCTGAGGCGAATTTATCCTAATGAATAGTATAATTCTTTTTATCTGTTGTTGATCATCTAAAACAATGAAATACAAATGAACTGACAACTGTGTAATTAAAACAACATACCTATTAATATTTTGGGTTTTGTCGACCGAACTCTCAATTGGATCCTATTGTGTGGAATAAAGTTATTTTTATTCGTAGAGATTTGTATTTTGTCAGTGTTGATGTTAATTTTTGCGATTGAACACTCTCTGTTGGGATATATAAATCTCGAATGGGTTGCATCGATATTGCTGTTTAGCAACAAGTTTCCACTTAAACTGGATAGTCACTAATAGTGAAATTCAAGACCTGCATTTCGTCTTATTCAGAACTCATTAGTTGGATGTACGAGTTAGTAGTTATGTTGACTTAGTAGAAATGTGTTAGTGTTTGAAATGAAAGATACTGATTTGAATATCAACGGGAATATTAACAGTGGGACCACGGCACATCCAGTTAACGAGTACCGCATTTTATTGCTAGCTACTAATCCAGCTTTAATAAGCCATTTCATTTTTATTGTGAAGTTGATATTACAATCTTGATGCCACTATATCATATATAATTTTTTAGTCGTTCGACAATAACTGATTTGTTAAGTATATACACTATTGATTTATTATATCAATGAATTAAGTCGTTGTTTTACGACAAAATTATTTCTAACATTAAAAAAAATTAAATTAATGAAAACTCTCGGTATATGAAGTGCCCAATCGCTCGTGATGTAAACTATGAAATCCAACAATTTGCACAAACCTCTAATACAAATAACAGACATGTGTTCACTAGTGACTAGTTTCTAAATATAAGTCCAGGAGTTCTAGTGAAATACCGTGATCAAAGCAGGTCGAGCATGTTGGTTGTGAAGCAGTTACTCATCAATGCCACTGGAAGATGGTTGTGCAACACCAAAAATTAATTAGATTTAGACAATTGGACCAATAAATTCCAAAACAACGTTCTAATTGTTAACTGATCGCCATAAATTCTAGAAGTTCGAGCTTTGATTCTCGATAGGTTCGTGGATGCACAATGCTGAAGTCCCATACAAAGACAAAACAGCTGTTCAGTCGTTATTGGTTTTCAAAAATTGTCTAAGATCAGTGTGTGATGAAATGCAACAATTACTACAAACCCTTTACAGTGAAAATAATAATCAGTGACAGTTAATGTACTCTTGGCTAAAAGAAAACCTTCAATAATTAGTATAGAATTTTACTCTGATACGTCAATAAAATAAATAAATAAGCACAATGAATAATTTCTATCGATTAACATTAATTAATAATAATAGTTATGAATCTAACCACATATCAGATTGTGCGGTGTATGCTTGATATATACGATACAGGCCGTATTATATAACAATTCTTATATAGTTTAGTTTATGAAAAAGTCTACAAAATAGTTATTTATTACTTAATACGGTTGTCAATATTTATAAGTAGTAAAACAAAGATATAGGTATGTGTTACATGGACCATTGATTTTCAATATACGTATTTAATTTCAATATACACTAAATATCGTTCAGTATGTATTAATTGTGTGGTAACAATCTAGTCTGTGATATGCACACATGCATATATGTAATCCCATACAAACATTGGTTTAATGTAAACAGACAGATAAAGAAAATTTCTACAAACTGTCCCTCTCCATTGCATTTTACAGAGGGAATGTGTAGAGTGGAACGGTGTAATCCAGTGATCTTATAAAGTGACTGGTTTTCAATAGAAAATTTATCCTAAAAATGAATAACAAAGAACTTGAAGGGATGCAGCTGTCTAATCACTATTTATTATTTTACTTTAACACATAGATATTGGTACAAGGGGGCACTAAATACATATGCGCCACAAAAATCTCATTTGATTTGTGTGAAGGCTGGGATACTGCCCAAGTACCCAGACCGAGGCAGGTGGTTTTCTTAGAGGGCCACACCCGGAGTCATCGACCTAAAGGTCTGATCCACAAAGCAGTGGAGTAACGTAAGGAGATGTAGTCCCATGGCAGCCGGTGACTAACGATTGGTTCATACTCCATTTGTTGCTCTAGGATACTGGAGCCCATGTGCACCAGTGGTTTTCGTAAACAACAGTAATGCAACGAGAAGGTATTGAGTAGGACTACCCTGATAGAGGCTATATACGCGTGGCCATGTGAGAGCATTTCGAGAGGGAGTGGATTCTCCCCACTCTCAGACGTACCAGGGCATTTTAGGGCCTAATCACTATTTTACACTGATAGTCACAAACAGCATAGTTAACAGAAAATATTAGTAATTCAGAACACTGAACGTAATTGAGCCGCTGGCTTGTACTAAATGTAATAAAGAGTTACTGCTCCTCTTATTCATTATAATTTAAGACATGAACAGTAGGAAGTAAATTTTATTAAAAGTAATTACTTCATTACACAAGAAATTTGGAAAATGATCGATCGCTTATATCTTATCAATATTTCAGTGAACAAAAGTGCTGTTAGAAATATTAGGATGACTGCCACTTCATGACTGTCCACATAGTGGAAGCATATTTCTTCTTCAGGAACCTAAAAATAAGCCTGGGTTAGTGGCGATCTTAATGACCTTGGAGTGTGACCGCAAAACCCAAAGGACAACTATTACAAGCCAATCAAGCATAGCCTTTTTATGGGACGTTTTTGGTGTGTAACTAGGAGTGGAATCTAAGTCATTTTTATCTTATTCAGATCCCGTCAAGTGAATGTACATGTATCCTAGAATTGATGTTCACACAAAGACTTGCTTAAAACTGCAAACGCTTTATCCACTGGGTTATCGAGTATAGATAAGTACTAGCTTGTTCAAGGTGTATGAAAGTAATTATTTCGGGTTTTTAATTTCCTCTTATTGAAGAGCATTGTTTTAAAGTAAATACACACCAGGTATTTATTTTTGGGTTAAATTAGACTTTTATAAATTAAAACATAAACTCTGATGAGAGAATCAGTCAGTAACAATGTAGAACTTCGTACGTATGTACATCAGTTCGACTTGCCATACCACATTAGCACAGAGATACAGTTGTCGATTCTAATCCCATAGTGGTAGAGGTAGTAAGAGTATGGTTTGAAGATGTTATTCAAGGAGTATAATGCAGTGAAAGAAATTTGAAAAGTAAAAAAAGGGACATGAAGAACCCAGAATATTAGAATGTAGGAAAGCACAAAGAGTGAATGCACATGCGCCAATGCAAAAGATTTTCAGCAATGTCATTCAGGGTCTCTAACCATCGTTTGATATCATCTCGCGGTCCCCAAACAGGTAGTCTACACCAACCAACATGACTCAGTTCACTTGTCAGTGACTTCATGGACTTGTGCCATGTTTTGGTCTGGTCGTCCCTAGCTTTCTTCCAACCCACTCCTATACCACTGAACATCGCACGTCGAGGCAGTCGGTCGTTGGGCATATGTAAAACGTGTTCCAGCCATCTCAACTGATGAAGTTTCACTATTTCATCAATGGATTTGCCATCCTTACCTAGTACCTGTTTCCTAACAACTGCATTACTTATCCGATGGTCCCAGGAGCAATGTTTCGAAGATAAGAGAGAAGATGACAAATGAAAAATATCAATACAGAAAACTATGAAAAAACAAAAAAAAATACTAACCTCAAGAAATTCATCTTTGCCACGTCTTAAATAACTAACAAGTTCCACGACATTATCAACCAAATATTCTGGTAAATCAGAAAGACAACCATGAGAAAATGATGTTGATTCAGAGGTAGAAGTAGTAGTATCATTACTATAACTACTATTTTTGTCTAGTATACACTTAGCCAATTTAACAAGAAAACGACAAGTGGTCACAGCAAATGACAATTGATCTTTTAATCGAGACATACACGACAAACTGGTAGATTGCTCCAAATACCGTGCAGTGCGTTCACGCATAAAACGACGTAGAAAAATTACTGTAAGAAACATGAAAAAAGAGGTCGTGGTTTTAACGAAATATTAGTAATAATAACGTTCATAATTATTATTCAATGCTTGCAGCGTTACATTGTAACTCATAATAAAAGAAACATACTATACATATGGATAAATTTCATTTATAACCTATCAGTTGGGTTTGATGTCATGTCAAACAATCATATAGGCAGGTTTTAATTTAAGGATCCGCTTCCTTACCACATATATGCGTCTGAACTTTTCCAAGAGGTCACTACTAACCACTGATTTTATTTGTTTACTTCTTTGAACACATAGATATTGGTACAAGGGGGAACTAAATACATATGCGCCACACAAATCGCATTTGATTTGTGTGAGGACTGGGATACTGTCCAAGTACCCAGACCGAGGCAGGTGGTTTTCTTAGGGGGCCACACCCGGAGCCTTCGACCTAAAGGTCTAATCCACAAAGCAGTGGAGTAACGTTAGGAGATTCAGACCCATGATAGCCGGTGACCAATAATTGGTTCATACTCCATTTGTTCCCTCATGATCCTGGAACCAATGTGCACCATCGGTTTGGAATCAACGTTTTCCAAATCCCTTAGGTAAACTCTCCGTGTCCACCAACCGGGTTAGAGCGCCGAACATTCGCTTTTCGTCTTCTCGATTTCGTAAATAACAGTGATGTGACGAGAAGGCAGTGAGTAAGACTTCCGTGGCAGTATCTGTATACGCATGACCATGTAAGAGCATTTCGAGAGGGAGAGTGGATTCTCCTCACTCTCAGCCGTACCAAGCACTTGGGGAACTGACTAATAAAAATCCAAAATATCTTGTAAAACTTTAGGATAAGAAATCTCTGAATAAATTGATTTCCATGTAGGGCATAATTAAAACATGAAAAGAAAGATCGGATAGCAGTTAAATTACACGTCATCTAAACACAAATATCGACAAACAGGCATGGTGATGATCATAACTTACGAACATCTAATATTCGTAAAAAAAAGGCTTCAAATAGGTTTTGGATTATGTAATGAATTGAACTTTAAAGCGTAATGATCTATCAAGAATTATATTCTGAATTTTTTTTTGGGGGGGTATTCAAATAGTTAATTGGAGTGGGAAAAAATGCTGTAATGTGATACAATATGATGTACAATATTATCATCAAATCCAACTAAACACGTGAATGTAAACATTCACGGGTTCATTTAAACAAAGAAAAAGAAACATTAGAGTCTATCTATCAATTAATAGTTATCCGAAGGGGTTTTGTGGAGATTTTAGAAATTCCAATAGTTGAAATCATGATTCAATTGAAGCTAGACCAGCATGGAAAACGTGGAAGCACTGAAAGACCGTTTCACCCTAGTATGGGGCTCCTCAGCAGTGCACATCCAGAGTCCCGCCCCCCACGCGATTCGAACCCAGAAACTATCAGTCTCGCGCGCGAGCGCCTAAACATCAGACCACCAGCTGAGTTCAAATCTCGCAGAGGGGAGGATCGTGGATGAGCACTGCTGAAAAGTTCCATACTGGGACGAAACGGCCTTCCAGTGCTTCCACGTTTTCCATGGTGGTCTAGCTTCAATTGACTCATGATTTCAAGTAGTCCGTTAAAAATAACATATTGAATCCCTATCACTGATTGAGTGAAAAAGATCAAAGATTAATACACATTGACGAGGAAACCATTGTTCATAGAATGAAATAAGTTGATCGTTTTATTATTGTGTATTTGCGAACCCTTGTAATTCATTATTTTAAATTAACAGAATAAAAGAATCAATCCAGATATATATACATGATAAAGAATTGCTAATTAACAACTTATGCTTCATAAGTCAGTATTTCATTATCTAAATGCTTTTTCTCTTGTTCTTCTGAATCTATTTTCATGCAGGTGCCTAACTTTATAAAAACCTATACTTCAAACCTTAGCGGCAGTTTTTCAGTTAAGGCGTTCTACTTTTAGTCATTAAATTTCAGGTTCGAATTCCTTAACACCTATTTAGATCTCAGCAACCAGATAGTATCACTAGGTCTTGCACTGAAAGTGTGACTGAAAGTCAAGTACACGAACCTATATCTGACAAATAAGTTGAATAAATAAATTTACCTTGAGAATCATTAGAATTATCCGATTCATGTGGTTGTAATTGATCTTCTAACCGATGCAATTGTTGACCAGTTTCAAAATGTCTAGCAATTAACGATGTCCATCCAATACGTATAGCCGCATGTGCAAGAAAAAATAATTCTGTTAAAAGAGGATAATCTTCATTATTCATTACTACAAGTGGAGCATTTTCAGATTTCTTAAAAATTTTATTTGCAGGTGCAAGACGTGTTTCTCCACGTAAATCTGAAGTAAGACAATAATAATAATGACAATAGTAATGATAATAACATTGGAAAACAACAGAACATAAATCACTACATACCGGCTTAGTGATTTAAAGGCTAAATGCTTGGTGCGAGATCTGAGGGTCCTAGGCTTGATACTCGGTAAGGTCATGGAGGTATTCTGCTAAGGAATCTCATACCGATACCAAACAGTTGTATAGTGTTTCCTGGTTTTCAATGGTTGTCTAACTTATGTCGACTCGTGATCTCAATGACATTCAACAATCTCCACAAACCTCCCACGCTGAGAACTAATAGTATGGAACTATTTTATACTCCATTCCAGTAGAACGCTTCCATAGTAAACAGACATTTTACTATGTTCGCACAAATTCAACTAACATTACAGTATTCCTAATTAGGAAAATTTGAAACTACTAATCACCAAGTATTTGAGTGCAACATAAAATTTTGAGCTTTCATAACAAGCACATGATCGCTCATTCACCCATTAAGTCATTTGGATTTTTGAGATTTGATACCTTTACCAGGCATCTAGTAATCGTCCTTATACATTCATTTTTACATCAAGCAAGAGTTGACTTGTTAAGATTACACCTTTCTGCTATAAGTTTAAACAAGTCACTAAGTAAACAGAAAGTATTAAACTAATTGAGAAGACAGTCGTTTGAACTGGGACATACACGGAGTACAGATAATCTACTAGTCATCTTAGGTTATTAAGATAAAGAATATAATATCAACATTATCATTATGAACGATAATGTGTTCCATATGGTCACAGAATTTTATCAGGTCTTTATAAACTGTTAACAAGAAGAAAGTTAATGTTTGACTTTAAGCTTCAAAATTAATACTACTTTGATGTTTTTAATACGTACAGCAAGTTGCTACATCATTTCTAATAAAAGAAAAAAGAAAAACCTGGTAATACTGTTCGATCTGCACATGAATCTGTAGCATATTCTGGCCAAATTTTATCCAACGGCGGTTTCTCTGGCAACGTCACTAATGGTCCAGTTAATCGAACTAAAACTGCTGTAAAATTACTAAGAAATCCATCACCAGCTAGATTTGGTGTATTTGATCGACTTAATAAATCATGATTCATAATTGAATGTGCTAATTGACCACGAGCTGTATGAATAAAAAACAAACCCAACAATAAAATTATTAATGCTCTAAAAATGTGTATAACAGACTAGTTAGATTATCTAATAGACACGGTCTGTTTAATTATTACGCGAAGAACTCTCAATCACATTTCCAGTGAAACTTGGGGAATAAACATTTTAGGAAGTTCATGAAATTTTCAGGAGTGTTTTCGGAGAAAATACATTTGTTGGTGAGATCCAAAGAACTCCTAGAAAAAGTTTAGAGGGGGGCTGCAAATGCTGGGAGACATTTTATCCAATGAGCGTTGAACAAAGGTTTCTCAGAAACATCTATAAAGTGAAGAGTCAAATGTCACATTTCTGACTGGATGACTGCCCATCCTGCTAGTATGTTTATCAGGGTTCCAGAACCTTGCACAAGCTCATGGCCGTCTGAAATACTATAAACACCCTCGAAATATTGTACACAAACTAAACCTGGAGTAAAGCGCTCTTTCTCTCGTGTAGATTTAGCCTTGGGTTATTAGATGAGCTTAGGAAACTAACTCAAGGCTTAGCAACATTGAAGTAAATAGATCTTTTTAGATTAATCAAGGGTTTCAGAAAAGGACGTGGAAAATTCGAGAATGACTCATGTGGTTGATAGCGTAGAAATTATCACGTTGTCTATGAGTTCCAATTGCCAATTTATCAATTGCATGGTTTCTAGTGAAATGAATCGTGGAACATCGTCAGTGAATATGGTTTTAGCAAAGCATGAATCAATGAGACAGGTGGAGGGCCTCGATAGTGAAGACTTTTAAGAATGTGGTAAATAATAAAAAAGTAGACGAGTAAAGCGTACCGCCACAGTATTTTAAAGTATATAGAATAGATATGACCAAAATTTAGTAAAATAAAGGTCTTATTTTCTTACTTAGTGTATTCACCGAAAAACTATTCAATGAAAAAAAATTGTGAAGTGCAGATTTTGTTTGAGTTTACTAAAATAGAAGTCGATACTAAAACAGACCAAAGATTTAGCTCTATTTGAAAAGGTCTGGATTACCCTGTTGTTGACCGAAATTTAATCAATCTTGGTTGACATCTGGGCATCCTGTGTGGATTGCCACGACTTAACAATTATGATACAAGCTGATATAGAATAGATTAAATTTGGCCAGCAGTGAAATCCAGGACACACATTTTATCCTATATGGGACTCCTTAGATGAGTGTACCATCACCCCAAAGTTGATACTTATTCCGGGACTCGAACCTAATACTCCATGCTTCAAACGCCATCGTGTTAACCAATTAGCTGCTACGTTCAGACAGCAACTCACTAGAAGCAAACGGTACTGAGTTCGAGTCCCGGAGTGAACATCAACTCAGGGATGCAGGTACACCGATTTGACGAGTGTACTTTGCATTATTTCGCATATGATCCAAAGCACACAACGAAATCAAATAAAATCATTTTCAATAAATATACTTCCGAAAAAGTAATATATATGTGCAACAGAGTTTATTAACATACACCTCGTTTTCCAACAACTCGAATAAGCTAAGAAAGTATGTTTATATAAAAGTTAGATGGAATCATGGTAAAACTAACGTTTTAGATAATTGAAATAACCCATTGTGTCATTGAATAAAGAGAATTCAGAGAAAACTTTCTTTTTGACGAAATCATTTACTTAAGCTGTACATTCGTATTTATAGTTATATGAAAAATATGTTTAGAGAAGGATAGAAAAGATTGCATCTTAAATTGATTCGAGAATAAATATCAAATGAGGTGACGCAATAATCAAGGGGTAAGGAAGGAATATAAGGAGCATTTAATCAACTATGGATGCATCGCTCCAAAGGAGTCTTTTAAAGTAATCTACACAGTCAAAGGAATTGGATCGAAGGGATGTCGAATCAATATTTTATGCACTGCTGAGGAATCGGCGATCCACGAACTCAGTCCCGAACTTTGTATGCAAAAACGATTCGTCCAACCTTTCATCCTTCCTTGGCCTTAATTCCCCTTAGTGATATGTTTTGACTGTTTTTTTTCCTTTTTTCTTCATTTTTATTTGATCGTTACTGATTTTTTTAATTATTGCATTGTAATTTTAAACTCTAGTCAGTTGTTATTACTAACGTTTTACTGAGAAACCAACCTACGTTCGCAACGCAAAAGACCATAATTTAGACAAGGCGATGAATATAAACTTGTGTTCTTAGTATTCAGCGTTTAGTTAACTTTCAGATAAGATGAATATATTTTTTTGAAGTCAAAATTCTGCCTTCATTACGAAAATTAAAAAGGAGCAATGGTTTATTAATTAGAAAAACATCATATGCATAAAATTCTTTCCGGATAATTTGGTCTGAGTAACAAAGTCGTTTAAACTGAAAGAAATATAGTTGTTTTATTGAGTACTAATTTGGTAAGTCTACAGAACTTTTGAACTCTAGCTATAAGTATGTACAAATAAACTACAAAAACAAACCTCATTGCAAATGGATAAACAAGGTTAATCCTAACAATAATACATTTTCTCAGGAATTCAGACTGAATATACATAAATACTTGTAAATAGAAATATGTAAATAGTGAAAAATAAGAAACACTAAGACAAACCTTTGTTAGCATGAATACATCCACCGAACCATTTGAACAGTAACTTCTTAATATAAGGACGTCGTTTGCCGACCCTGAGTAAATTAGTGAACAAGGTGTTCAATTCCAAATCCATTTGTTCAGTTAACTAGGAAAAGATTTACATAAAACAAACAATACATACAGTAGTGTTTCTGGTTAAATAAAATAGATCAACAACAAGTGAATGAGAATACTGCAAATCCATAACAATACATAGATTAATCACTTCTACAAGCAGAACATTTACATGAATACTAAAAACATTGGTTATTTTCAAACCATGAAATAAGTTGTTCCTTTCAAACCCCAACGCTTAGTGCAATACAGACGGTTTCATAGGATAATTTTGTTTTAGTAAATTAAAACTTAAGACAGTTAAAACATCGCGGTGATCCTCTTAGAATATACATATGCCAACCAATATTGATCAATAGCAACACCTAACATCAACAATGGAAAGATAAAAATCAGTCGGTTACATATACGCACCACCTAACATTCAGCACTAACCACGGTAAGAACAACAGTACATGGGGTTTCCGTATCAAACTTAATCAAGCATTGTTAGAGAATCAATTCATGATTTCCCTAGTGATCAATTTGAAGAATATTGAAAACCTTTGTTTTGAAACACTAAAATTAATATGCGCCACACAATAAGAAAAGGAGATCGTGAAGAAATAAGAAAAGGAAGGTGAGTATAATAAATTAAAGAAACAACAGGTGAATAAAAATAAGTGAATAAGTAAAAAATAATGGGAAATGCAGTTCAGTTAGGAAAAATATAACCACAAAGGATTCTTTCAGTTGAAGTTCAGTTAAAGCTCTTCTCACCTGTATGAAGAAAGTAGAATAAAGTTACAGCAGGATCGTCACTAGCTTCAATTCTGAGTCATGTCTGACAATGCCTCAAGTCAGTATGTTGTACAAACTGAAGAACCCAAAAAAGAGATTCGTGAAGGACCAACAGAAGCCAGTCATGTATAACTTTCTTTCATACCACAACACCATGTTATAAACTGAACACCTCTCTGCTTTTTACAATCAGTCCCAAAATCGGCAAATAATGCATGATGTGTAATTCGCAAGGACGACATTCGTGAGACATGTCCAAGCCAATGAAGTCGGTGCTTCAGGACAGCGACACCAAGCGAATCATCGTCGCTGTGTTCAAACACAATACTGAGTCTCTACATTACTAACGCGGAGTTGCTACTGGATGTCAGCAATCCTTCGGAGACAACGATGATCATACACAAAGTCGCCTAACATCCTCAACTCGGAGAAGGCAGGTTTCTCACGTATAGGAAAAAACTGCTCTCATCGGCGCGTTGTCTATCCGACCTTTTACAGTCAAACTAAAATCACGAAGGCACCAAAGATGACCCAGATTAACATAAGCCGCTCTGGCTTTCACTATACATGAATTGATCTCATCACCCACGCCACCACCAGCACTTAGGCAACTACCCAGATACGTGAACTTCTCGACTACTTCTATCTTCTCACTATCCAGAATAAGTGTAGGATCAGGGTTATGCCAGTCTTGTGAACGTGCTTTCCAATTAGGTGTAAAGTTAAAAACGCTTTACAACCGATTAGGGCATAGAAAGAATAGATCCATCGGAAAAATCGAACCTACTAAAATGATACAGAGCAATGTAATAAAACTCAGCAACTATGCATAGGCACTTATACTGGTTTATGATCCAAGGTGAATGAAGCAGGATTGTACAAATTATACGGAGCATGGTTTGAATCCGTAAATTAGTGAAAAAATTCGGAGACTTATGATAAATAATAAGTGCATCAAACACTACCATCACGAGTAGTACAAAGTAAACACCCTATAAGGTAAATACTGCATACTCTGGGGTTAAAATACTTTACGCTCGATATAACAGGAAAAAGAATAGTCCTCTTCACTCTCAGTTGCATTACATTTTATCAAATAACCAGTATACATAATAACATCCCAGTGAGCGTTATAGCTACATCATTATAGTTTAAAATAATTTAATCTTTGGGCATTATTGTGAAGGAACCTTATGAAAATATCTGATAAGTGCCACAAATATTGGTAACATACCTGCCATATTGTACGTTGTTCGGACTCTACGACAGATTTTAGAGGTACTTCTTCGGTGAAAAATTCACCGATTGGAGCCTGGTTAGTTAGGAAAATTGTTTCCGCTGCTTGAGGTGAGTGTAAATGACTGGGAACTAGAAGTCGACCCAAAAGACCACCTTCGAATTCATCAGGCCTAAATGAACCACTGGAGAAACTCTGAGGAAACGACAACTCAATAATAAGCTGTAAAAAATAAATTGGTACGAAAAGATTTTAAAGTTTAACAAATAATGTACACGTTTATATGTGGTAATGTCAAATGCAGTTTCCGGAAAAAAAATAAAAGAACTGATAAAATTAGAAAAGCTCTCTATTGATCTTAATTTTACTGTTATTCTTCAAGTACAGTGGTAATGCTGTTTCAAAAAGATTGATAATTAAACATAATCAAATTCACAGTCCAGAGACTTGGAAACTAAGACACAATTTAATTAAATTTTCCGTAAAACAAGTAGAGATCTCTTACTAACAATTGAATAAAACGTTTTAAATGCTATCTAGATTTTGGGCTAAAACTTTATGCTGGCAACAATGGTATAAATATACGGATACTAGGTTACAATTTATCATGTTAGAAACTATACAATACATTCACCTAGGTATACCAAAATGATAGCAAAGGGATTTCGACTTACAGAAATTCTAATCCCAAATGAGTGTTTCAGAAAATACACTAATAGTTATACGTACTGCTTTTATGTGTAACCAAACACTTTCTAACTGATAGCAGAAATGATAAAACTTCCCGGGATGAAGGTCACCAACAACTATCAGTTAGCGAACTGATCCATGCAGTATCGTGTAGCGAATTTATTTATTTATTTATTTGAACACATAGATATTGGTACAAGGGGGAACTAAATACATATGCGCCACACAAATCGCATTTGATTTGTGTGAGGACTGGGATATTGCCTAAGTTCCCAGACCGAGGCAGGTGGTTTTCTTAGGGGACCACACCCGGAGCCTTTGACCTAAAGGTCTAATCCACAAAGCAGTGGAGTAACGTTAGGAGATTCAGACCCATGGTAGCCGGTGACCAATAATTGGTTCATACTCAATTTGTTCCCTCAGGATCCTGGAGCCCATGTGCACCATCGGTTTGGAATCAAGGTTTTCCAACTCCCTTAGGTAAACTCTCCGTGTCCACTAACCCTGTTAAAGCATCGGACATTCGCTTTTCGTCTTCTCAATTTCGTAATCAACACCCCCACTTCAAGAAACCAGTGAGTAGGACTTCCGTGGCAGTAGCTGTATACGCATGGCCATGTGAGAGCATTTCGAGAGAGAGTGGACTTTCCCTACACATGGTCGTACCAGCGCATTTGGGGGCGAATAGAAGTCTAGGAATCACCTTCATTACATAAAAATGCAACCAACTACTGACTAGAACAGTAACAAAACAAGAAAAACATCCCAAACAAAAGCACCATTTGATAATGATTAGAATATTGAACACACCGAATAACCTGAAATAGACATACCTGAGCAGTGACTGAATACTTAGATAACCAAATTGTCATGATCAACAGAGGACGGCGTTGAGGACAGAACAGAACACGTTCCCTGGCACCCACTAACTGTTTATTTAGGAAGCTATTTACTACTGTTGGTGACTGCACTGAGGAGTAATAAATATTTCTTAACTGAATTAGAAGGCGATTGACCAACGGTCGTAAACTGTTCAATGCGGACTGAGGACAAGATTCTTCTATACTTACATCCGACAGAGATTCCGACTCCAGATGATTGAGAACTTCGTCAAACATTTTTTGAATATAAGCAATTTGATCGCCGTCATCTTTTATTAAAATTAGAAAGAAATATTCATTAAACAAATAAAAAACAATAAAAAGTGCAAAGTTAATTTATAAGAGGAGTGAAATGGAGTATGCGCAAAGTCCAAACTAAAAAAGTAAACAGTTCACAAGCGAAAGGTAACCTCGAGTTAACATACCTGTGCAGAGAGCTTGATAAATGATATCAAATAGGTTCGTGCTGCTTTCCGGATTATCGGACTCAGCATCGACAAGCAACAGAAGTACAATTTGTCTTACGATACTTTTGCGACAATCTTCAACGATCTGTGAAAGCTGATATAACAAAATATAGATGACATTACTGACATATAAAGATGTAAGGCAAAGTTATACTAATATTAATGTTGTGAATTTGAAAGGGCTGACAGCGACAGATTAAAGTAGGAAGTCGTATACTATAGCTATTGGTGCAAAAAGTTATGAAATTAAAAACAAACTTCATAACACATAGTAACAGGGAGTTCTGTTTACTTGTTTAGACAGACTGCAGTGAAGAAAGGATAAATGTCTCTGCAAAACAGTGGTATACATTGCAGAAAAGACAATTGGTTACAAGGTGATCATCATTTCATATGAACACCTTTAGATAATTGAGCATTTCAACATCTGCTAACTAGCCTGATAATACCATAGTAAATAAATTATTATTACTTTCAGTAACCCGATATATCATTCGAAACACCTATGAATGAACTGGTGATGCTAAAGGTGGATCTCATAACAGGAAAAAATTAAAAATTAGTTGGTCAAGGAACAAAATGCCCAGGTTTCTGATATCTATACCTCCCAACTTACTTGCAACAATACGATGACAGGAGGAGTTTCAACAATGTACTGATGAAGTAATGTATAGTTTTGCATCATAAATACTCAAACTAATCGCATTCCCAGAAAGTTAACACAAAGTGTAATGTACTGCATCGATCCCAAGTAGGAATTCATCCACTGCACTGAAACAATCGAAAAAGAAGCAAGCTCAACCTGATTTAAAGTTTATATAGGGAAAACCAGTCAGTTTATAACACTGTGCTCCCTGATAAGTAATAAACGGAAACATGAAAGCAACAGTTCAACAACCACTTTTTATCGTTAGTCCCTGAGTAGAAGTAAATTTAGGGTCTCAATGATACAGAAAAGCTAAGCTAACATAAAAAAATTATAGTTCAACATCTACTTACAGCGTTTGTTTGTTTAATTGCACACGCGCGACGATAAGAAGAAACCAAATAACTAATTGGATTGGAAACCAAAACGTCATTGACATCTGTGGCTACACCTGACTTAAGGCTGACAACATCATAGTCGTTGAACTTTCTCATTTGAGTGCGGTCAAATATAAGTTCATCCAAACTGCTCCCGGAAATCTGAACATTTCCAGACGAGAAAGGTTGTATGTAAAGCAAATGACTAGGTCTACCGGACTCACCAAGAACAAGATCTGTAAAAGTAAAACAGGTCAATAAATCCAAACCTTTATCATGGGTAATGAGCAGTATGTTCTCCAAGATTTTAGTAACCTCAGTTTCACAGGCACCAAATATTGCTGGACCCAAACCTGAGTGAAAATTCCCTCAAAAACCTATAGGACGAATTACCGACTGATGTATTTTTCACAAGTGAGGCAAAAGGGTTATCTGCTGAGTCCATTACTGATTTGTTTAGCCAGAGAATGAAAACAATCACAAATCAGACGAACTTCGCAAATCTTTTGAACATAGCGCCTTAAGGACGTACAAAGGTCATTTCAGTATCCAACACCACCAAGGATACGAGCTACCTCTTCACCATGCTTATAGACAAATCTGACCATCACATTCATAACAAAACAAAACTATTTCGCTGTTATTATGATCTTTTCTATTAGCCTCCTTCACCATAGTTGCTTTGACTGTTGCATAAACACGTCCATATACTTTGTAGGGCCAGCGAAATGTCTATAAGCCCTATCCAAATCATCCGGCAGTTGGGTCATTGAATATCGATCCTCGTCAAGGTCAGAGACACCCAACGTGCATCAGTTAATCGTATGTCACGGATTGGCCTGAGGATGATACATGTATTCAGTGTTTGACAACGCTTCTACCAGTAACACCTTCTAATATAATGTGTTCCCAACGAGAGAAATCAAAAGACAGAGTCGAGGAGATCGGAAGAGTATATTTGGCGATGACCAATATATCGGAATTCTCTGATCTAATCTGGCTAGCGATTGCGGTTGATGTTGAGCACGGCGTTACCACACGTGATCTGGTGCGGATGCCTGACCGAGCGCCTTCAGCTAGATGAGTCCACTAAAACATATGGTCAGCATCCAATGTCGAAAACATACAGAGCTATTTAGTTTAGGGATTTATTTACCGCTACAGATCACTCCCCCCATAGTGGGGCAGTGATAACCCTAAGACGTGGCCAGCCAGAAGTTTAAACCCAACGAGTTTGTCGTTGGTAAACACTCTTCTGATAGCTTACTAAGTCTAGCAGCGTCTGATCGTCTTTCCTTACTATATGAGACCGAGGTACAATATAGAAAAAAAAGAAAAGGTACAATGAAAATGTCGGCTCCTCGTAAACTGCATCGTTCTTTTCCAGCCATCCTGGAAAAGAAAAAAGAAAATGTAAGTACATATCGAACTACACTCCTATGTACGTAAAAACGCAATGTCGGCGAAAAATAAACTCAAGCACACGTAATAGTGTTAAAAAAATATTTTTTGTTTTTTTTAAAATAAAAGTATAAATATATGAGCATATTAAAATTGTTTCTTTTTTAAAAATTAATATATATCGTAAAAAGAAAGATCGAGATAATATAAAATGTCGAGTAGTGCTTTACGTGCAAAAGTCGTTTAAATGTTCTAGAAATCTTACTATTCTTCCAGAACGTGTCGTTTAAAGTTTATTTTCAGACACATTCGGAGTGTCATCGCTAGTGTTGGTTGTTGGTTGAGGAATTATGAGTGTAGAAGTCGTGTTGTGCGATTGTACCGAAGGAAAATCTACATGAACAGGATTTCCTTCTAAATACGCTTCCTTTAAGCGATCGATGATGATGCTATGGTTTGTTCCGTTCTTATCGACTACAGAGTATTTACATTTGCGTTGAAGAACTTTGAAAGGTCATTCGTATGCTGATTCGAATGGTCGTCGATGTGCGTCTCGACGAACGAAAACGTGTGTACTATACTGTAAGTCAGGTTGAACGAAAACATCGGTGGATTGCGGTCGTGTGGAAACAGGTTTAACTGAACACATTGCTTTTGTAAGCCTGTTCGTGTAGGAGGTTAGATCCATGTTCATTGAAGAGGATGAAGGATCCATGAATTCTCCTGGAAGTCGAAGTGTCATTCTATAAACGAGTTGAGCTGCAGTGTATCCAATGTCAGCTCTCACTGCATTGCGGATACCTAGTAAGATGAGTGGAGGAGCGTCGGTCCACTGTGAAACCTTTGCAGCTGATAGTGAAGCTTTTAGTTGTCGGTGAAAACGTTCTACCAACCCGTTTGATTGTGGATGGTAGGCGGTCGTTTGGAAGCGAGTGATTCCTAATAGTGCGGTCAGAAGACGGAAAAGTTCAGACTCAACCTGACGTCCGCGGTCTGTAGTGATGGTTGAAAGGCAGCCGAACATTGATAACCATCGTTCGACGAAGGCGCGGGCCACTGTTTCATCAGTGATGTCCTTGATAGGTACTGCTTCTGGCCATCGAGTGAAACGGTCTACACAGGTTAGGAGGTAAAATTATCCATTTGAATCTGACAAGTGTCCTCCCAAATCCAGATGAACATGGTCGAAACGGACATCAGCAGTTTTGAAAGAGCCTAAGGGACATTTATTGTGTCTGATGACCTTAGATTTCTGGCAGATTACACAGGAGCGTGCCCGATCCCTCACGTCTTTATTCCTGCCAGGCCAGCAAAACCGTTCTGCTATAAGCTTGATGGTTGCACGAACACCTGGATGAGAACGATTGTGCAATGTGTTGAAGACATTGCGTCGATAATGTTTCGGCACGATTTTGGGTTCCCTACCTGTAGATGTGTCACGAAGTATGGTTTCCTTACCTATTCCCATCTGTTTGACGAGTAGCTTGAGGGTTGTGGACGATAACTCGTGCTAAAGATCAGTGTCTTCTTTTTGAAGCTGGGCGAGTTTCAGAAGGTCGATTCCTTGGAAACTGTTCAAGGAAATTATGCGAGACAAAGCGTCTGCAACTACATTGTTTGCTCCAGAAATGTGTTGAATTTCTGAAGTAAATTGCGAAATGTAGTCCAGCTGTCAATACGCAAGAGGTGAGTACTTGTCTGAAAAGGAGCTAAACGAGAAAGTAAGAGGTTTATGGTCAGTAATAAGAGTGAATTCACGGCTTTCGATGTAGTGTTGAAAATGCTGTACAGCACAATACATAGCTAGGAGTTCCCTACCGAATGTGCTGTACCTCGATTCGGTGTCTAGCAATCGTCTAAAAGAAAATACCAAAGGTTGCTAGCAGTGGTTAACCCATTGTTGTAAGACCTCTCCTATTTCTGAGTCAGATGCATCTACTGCGATAGTAATGGGTGTTTGAGTGTCCTGATGTGCAAGCATTGTTGCTTTAACGATACGTTTCTTAATTGTGAAGAATACCTTTCGTGCGGTGTCGTCCAAATTGATGGATATCGCATTTTCACGAAGTTGGTCAATAAGAGGTTTCATGAGTAACGCTCATTTCTTTATAAATCGCCTATAGAAACTTACAAGGTCGTTAAACGTTCGTAATTGATTGATCGTGGTCGGTTCTGGGTGATCCAGAATGGCCACAATTTCACTTCTAAGAGATTTGATGCCTTGCCCATCTGTAGTGTATCCTAGGAAGTCTAAGGAATCAGATCCGATTTGGCATTTCTGGACATTTACATTAATGACACGTTTTTACAGCAAGTCAAAAATAAGATCCAGGTGCTTGAGATGTGATGCTCTGTCCGGACGTGGGATTAGGGCAGTCGTCAACATACGCATGTACGAAGTTCAGATCGTGAAAATCGTCGTCTATGAATCTTTGGAATGTTTGGACAGCGTTCCTTAGACCGAAAGGCATTCGCAAAAGTTCATAGAGTACGAAGGGAGTGATGATAGCTGTTTTCGCTATGTCGTCAGTGGCCATGAAAATTTGGTTATACGCTTAAACCAAGTCGATTTTTGAAAAGACAATTGTATCTTTCAAGGTATCTGTCAAATCGTGAATGTGAGGCAACGGGTAACGGTCGGGAATGGTTTTCGCATTCAATCTCCGATAGTCACCAGTTGGACGCCAATCGTTGCTGTCCTATTTAGGGACCATGTGCAACGGAGATGCATAAATGCTGTTTGACGGTCGTATGATTCCTAAGTCTATCATGTGGCCGAACTCGTTTTTCGCTAACCTTAGCTTTTCAGGGGATAGTCGTCGTGCTTTATAGAATACAGGTGGTCCTGTAGACGTGATGTGATGTGAAACGTTGCTGGTTACAAACGGTAGTTTCGTTTGAGTTTGTTGTATCCCAGGGTACTTATCGAGTAGTGGTTGATAGAGTGGGTCTATCGCATGCTTAACTGTGACTGGGGATAATCTGCAACCAGAAAAAGAAGTAACACAAAAAGGTAAATGGTGTTTCCGACGATTAGCCTCCGTTTGCGCGTGTCGATGATCAGATTATGGTGTTGTAGAAGATCCATACCAATGATTGGCATAGAAACATCTGCAACAACGAAAATCCAGTGAATCGGTTTGCGTAAACCCACGTTAAGGTAAACGTACCTTTTGCCATACGTAGCGATAGGCTTTCCGTTTGCTGCCTGTAAGTTTAAAACCAATTCGTGAAGCCGGCCGCTAGAGTTCGCCGAGAGAATGTTATATTCTGCGCCAGTATCTACGAGGTATCGAACCCTCGTTGTCACATCTGTGACGTATAACAGACGGCTATGTTCGCCGGCTACGGTTACCGTTCACGCGTGCCCGCTTATAAGTTTCCTGAGTTGTTTTTCGTCTCGGTGGAATTTGAGTTGGGAAAATTGCAGTGTTGTCTGCGATTTCTGGAAGACTTTTCATACTGGTTATGATACCAGCACTAGTCGGGGTTATCAGTCTCTTGTGGTCTAGAGACAGATCGCTTACGTGAAATGCTTCTACGTGTGCTGTGTGAGCGATTACGGTCGTTACGAAGTTTAAGATAACGCGTGAGTGTATGACATAAATCGGTTATGTCATCCCGAGTCGTGTGAAGCTTTTTTTTGACTGAAAATACCTCGGTAGTAGAAGGTTTCGTAATTTCTAAGATTCGATTGGCAGATGCAGCCAGCTCGTCTAAGGCGTTGTTCTGAAACGATACCGGAACCGCTTGCACCTGTTGAGGAAGTTTAGACAAGAAAAATTGTTTGAATAGACCTTCGTCGAAAGTCCTTAGGCCTATTGTAGTGTGAGCTACTTATATTGACATAAGTAGTATATAACGTGCGTTAAAATGACGTAATGTCTGGCAGCAGAAAATGGAGAAGATCAAGTAAAATGAGCAAGAACACAATGGAATTTGTAAGAAATCGCATGAACAATGAAATGGGAGACAATGGATTATTGTTTGCAACGGGAACAGTACAGTTTGATTTGATGCATTGATAATTTGCAAATTGACGATTGAATTTATGGTATTCAGATTTTGTTGAGATAGTCTGTAATTTTGTGCTAAATACATCCGTTTGTCCCCACCCGTGTTCTTGTTC